CTATGCAGAGTATTTTTAAAACCTTCCCCCCTAACCATCTTTTACCTCCTCCCCCCCCCCTACCCTCCCTCTTCACCTCCCCCCCTCCCCTGCCCCTCCCTCCTCCCTCCCCCCTCGAACCCCCCCCCTCCCATCAGGCCTATTTTTTACCATCTAATCCTTTGTGAGCTTACTGTCACATTTGGATCTTGGCCCTGAGGTTGAACTCTAACCTTGTACGGTTCACCGTCCCTCCATTTCCCTCAATGTTCCCCTTTCTATCCCTTCTTTATTCTTTCTTCTAATTTGCTGCCATTGCTCTTTTCCCTCGACGTTTTCCCCTCCCTCAACCTCCCAACCTGGAACCTCTACTTTTTGAATGTTAAGTTTGTCAAAAAAGTCTCTCAAATCCTCAGGAAATCTCAGGTATGCAGTAACTCCATTCTTCCATCCGATTAGACACATTGAGCCGCTCCATCTATACTGTATGTTTTGTTTTTTCATCTGTTCTATTAAGGGTCTCAGTGATCTCTTTCTCCATAATGTCTCAGGTGTCAAGTCTGCAAAGATTTGTATATTTTTCCCTTCATACTCAATATTATATCTTCCTTTTGTCTTCTTCCATATTTCTTCTCTCTCTCCAATTTTATTAAATTGAACCACTACATCTCTCGGTCTCTCTTCCGCCCGATCTCGTTGGGCCTTTCCTGATCTATATATATTGTCCAATATGCATGTCTCTGTTCTAGGTCTACCCATAATGGAGTTTAAGATTTTTTGTATCGTCTCTCTTAATTCTTTATCTTGTATAAGCTCCGGAATTCCTTTTATCCTGAGATTTTTTTTCCTGTGTATGTTACCTTGTATCTCCAGTTTATATCCCAGTTTTTTTTGTTCTTGCCTAATCTCTAGTATCTGATTATTCAGTTCAGAAAGAGTTTGAGCATGTTTATTGATTTTTTCTTCTGTATCTTCTACTCTAGTCAAGAGATGTCCCAGATCTTTCCGAATAATTCCCATTTCCTGTTTAATTGATTTTTCCAAATTTTTAAACATTTCCGCCATTTCCTTTTTATTTGGGATTTGTAGTTCTCCTTCATTTTCCTTTGACTCTATTTCTCCTGATATTTGTTGATTATTATCCATTTCTACTGGAGATCTGGCGCTTTTATCCATACTGTTCTCCATTATACTTTTTTCACCTGCCCCCTGAGTTCTTTCTGGGGTCACATTACCTTGAGATGTAAATTTTCTAATTGTTCCTGATTGGGCGTGTTTAGGGGCATTCCCTTTACTATTTTTGCTCTTCATATTTTTAACTGTATCCGAGTTCTCTTTTTAAACTTTAAGATATATACTGATAATAAGTCCTTTAGGTAAATTCTACTTTCTTCAAACTATTTGGTGGTTCCCCCTTTTTCTCTATATATATTTCTTCTGCCACACCAAGAAGCTATCCATAAATAGATTTAATATATAATCCAGATAGTCTCACTCACCCTCCTTCCCGCTGCTTCGTTCCAGTGAGGCTGTCAGCATTCTGGTGTGGCTCTGCTCCTTTTCCCTTCAGCTCAGGAGGGGAGGGGGGGGGGGAGAGGGGTTAGAAGAGGAGGGGGGGGGAGAGGTGAAGGGGGGGTTTTCCGAGGCTCTTTTCTTCTCTCTCTCTCCGTTTCTCTCGTGGGTACCGACGGTCATGTAAATCTCTCTGCCCGAGCGGCTTCAGTTTCAAAGGAAGCCAGCCGTTTCTCTCTCTCCCTCCTCTTCTGTTGGGTCGGAAAGCCGGGGTCTCCCTCTGCTTCAGGAAGCCGGCCGGCTTCTCCGTCTCCCAGTACTGCCCTTCGGCGGGTCACGTGACCACCTCCCGTCACCCGCACTCCCAGCAGTCAGAGGTGAGAGATTCCCTGCCGTCTCACCGTCCAGAACTCCCGCAGCTCCGTCTCCTCCACTTCACTCTCAGGACCCCCCCCTCTGCCGTAAGATCTCAGGCGGGGAGTTTAGCAGCTTCCATGGGGAACGTCAAGGGAAGGAGGGCGGTTATCCTGCGGAGAGCGCTCACATCGCTCTCTCTCACACACGCCACGATTAGGCTCCTCCCTCGTTCCAGGAGGAGAGTTAAGAAACGTCCTTCTCAATTATCTTAATGGCAGTTCCCGCTCCAATAAAGGTGGCAACCATTAATGTTGCCAGCCTGAAGTCTGTAAGTGCTAGAGAAACAGCCTTATTTTTGATCAGTGGGATGGAAGCTGATATTTTCTTTTTGCAGGAGACCAGGTTGCCCACCTTGGCTGATGTCCATCTGGCCAAGCGTGAGTGGAGGTGTGGGCCCTCCTACTGGTCTCTTGCGGCTGAGCCTTACAGCGGAGTCGCGGTGCTTTTTACCGGCATGGTAACGTGTCGGCGGATAATTGAGGTAGAGATAGGAAGATGTCTGATTCTGGATGTTCTTGTAAGGGGGCAAGAGCTCCGTCTCATTAATATCTATGACTCACAGTCCAAGTGGGACAGGAAAAACCTCTTTGCGAGGATTAAACCTTACCTCTTTACATCCCGGCTGGTAGTCTTTGGAGGTGATTTTAAAACCATCACTAGGCCCAAGGACAGGAGAGGCTTCACTGACAGGCTGGGATATGACAGTGTTTTTCTAAATGCTATAGTCAGGGAGGCAGGTCTGGTTGACGCTTGGATTCAAAGTGTCCCAGACAGCACGGGTTTCACCTATAGGAGAGGTAATAGCCAGAGTAGGATAGACAGGTTTTTTTTGAAGGAGAACTCTGCCTTCTTGGCACCTGAGTGTCAGGCGGTGGAGTTTTCCGATCACCTTATGCTGTCTGTCACCTTGAATATTTCAGATACGCCGCTGAGAGGAAAGGGCATCTGGAGGATGAATTTGTCTCTGCTGGAGGACGAGGAGGTGAGACAATCTTTCGAGGGGTTCTTTCAGGCACAGGAGACGATGCTGGATTTCTGCAGTAGTAAGTCGGAGTGGTGGGAACTTACCAAGGTGCGGATCAGCAGGTTTTTCAAAGCCATTGGTAAGAGACGCAGTTTAAACGGTATAACGCCTACCAGCGGTTGCGGAGGAAGCTCGACTGCCTTGTTTCTAGCGGTGGAGAATCGGGGGGCAATCTCGGAGGTGAAGCTTCTCCTCAGGCAATTCCAGTATGATCAGCGTGCCTGTTAGGAATGGACTGGCCAGCAATGGTGGGACTCACCTGCCTTTTGATCTGCAGTACCAGGGCTGGCCAGCGGGTGCTCCCAGCAATCAGAGACTCAACCTTTCAGCCAGCTAACACCTGGAACTGATGATACTGGGGTATTTAAGGGATGGCCAGACTTGCAGACTCTGCCTTGGTGTTGTGTTTGTCCTGGGCCCTGTATCTGTCCTGCATCCTGCATCCTGTTTCTGTTCCTTGCTGACTTCTCCTGCTCTGATCCTGGCTTGTGACCCTGACCATTCCTCTGTCTGACCCTCTGTACTACGCTGCTTGCTACCTGTTCTGATCCCTGGCTTGTGACCCGGACCATCCCTCTGTCTGACCCTCTGTACTATGCTGCTTGCTACCTGCTGAACCTGGCCTGTGACCCCGACTATTCTCCGCTTGCTCCCCCCGTACCTACCTACCTGCCCAATTGATATTGACCCGGCCTGCCTGACGACGCTTGCTTGTATGTACTGTTATCTGTGGGTGGTTGGTTTGGTTTGTTTGCACTGTATTATGTTTTAGTATTGCACTGCGTTTATGTTTGTATGGTTAGTGTTAATAAATTATATTGTTTATCACATTTCTGAAGTCTGCGTTTCCCTGCATCAGTCACACATCTCTGGTCATACCTGGGAGCCCTGACATTACACCAAGGCCAATCCTGACCAGAAGTGGCTGCACAGGGAAGCCATCTTGGCTTGTTGATGGGAAGGATGGATCTTGAGGAGGTTGAGTATTTATATCTGCTAGTGTTTGATGACAGGGAGTATGCTTATCAAACTCTGAAGCAGTATATACCCGGGATGAACTGCTAGAATGTATACGGCTCGCTCATGTTCTAGTAGATCAGGGCACAGTGTTCTCTGAGGTGCAGCCATTGATTGAGGTTTGTGCAGAGTTGGTTTCATCTGGTTCCCCCGAATGCAGGGATGAATTTTTGCCACCATTTAGTGCAGACCAGGTAGAGTCCCTGGTGTGGTTATTAGAGGATGATGTGGGTTACCTTTTGGAGCGTTACTCCACATGTTCACCACAGACACTAAGAGATTGTATCAACACAGTGCAGTCATTGACCAGACAGACTTTGTGTAAGCTCAGCTTTGTTCAACCCCTACTGCAGACATGGACAGATTTGTTGCACCCAGCCTCAGTCAGCTTACAAAGACCCAGTCCTGCTTCTAACTCTACTCCTGTATTCCCACCAGCTCCTCCTGCCCTGCTATCTACCGCATGTCAGTACCCACCTGTTCCCACTCGCTGCACCTATCCTGCCTTTAACCCTGTAAAAGAGCCCTCTGTAGCAACTGCTCCCTCTCCTGTTCCATCCTCCAGTTTTTCTCTGTCTCCAGCTGCTCCATTCGTTTTGCAGACCTGCGTTTACTTGCAGTGCTCCAGTAGTTAAAACCAGAAAAAAGCGAAAATTCTTTCCAACCAATACCATCCTGCCAGTATCCAAACCGGTGAGCCTGCCTTCCGTGACTCGGCCTGAAGCCTCTACTCGGCCTGAAGCCTCTACTCGGCCTGAAGCCTCTACTCGGCCTGATGCCTCTCAGCCGGATGCCTCAGCCGGATGCCTCTCTTCAGCCGGATGCCTCTCTTCAGCCCGGATGCCTCTCTTCAGCCGGATGCCTCTCTTCAGCCGGATGCCTCTCTTCAGCCGGATGCCTCTCTTCAGCCTGATGCCTCTCTTCAGCCTGAAGCCTCTCCTCAGCCTGAAGCCTCTCCTCAGCCTGAAGCCTCTCCTCAGCCTGATGCCTGTATTCAGCCTGATGCCGCTACTCAGCATGATGAACTGATCCAGCCCGACGATCCTATTAGGCCAGTTGACTCGATGCCCGCTGTTGATCCAGATGATCCGGTACCTGATCCAGTGCCCGCTGTCGTGCCAATTGACTCAGAGCCCGCTGTCATACCTGGTAAACCGGTGCCCACTGCCTTGCCAGATGACGCGGTGCCCGCTGGCAAACCAAATGACCTGATGCCTGGTGACCCAGTGCCCGCTGTCATACCTGGTGACCCGATGCCCGCTGTCGAACCAGACGATCCAATGCCTGGTGACCCGGTGCCCACTGCCTTGCCAGATGACGCGGTGCCCGCTGTCGAGCCAAATGACCTGATGCCTGGTGACCCAGTGCCCGCTGTCCAGTCAGACGATCCAATGTCTGACCCAGTGCCCGCGGTCATACCAGTTTGACTTGGAGCCCACTGCCTTGCCAGATGACGCGGTGCCCGCTGTCGAGCCAAATGACCTGATGCCTGGTGACCCGATGCCCACTGTCCAGCCAGACCATACAATGTCTGACCCAGTGCCTGCGGTCATACCAGTTGACTCGGAGCCCACTGCCTTGCCAGATGACGCGGTGCCTGCGGTCGAGCCAAATGACCTGATGCCTGGTGACCCGATGCCCGCTGTCCGGTCAGACGATCCAATGTCTGACCCAGTGCCCGCGGTCATACCAGTTGACTCGGAGCCCACTGCCTTGCCAGATGACGCGGTGCCCGCTGTCCGAGTCAAATGACCTGATGCCTGGTGACCCGATGCCCGCTGTCCAGCCAGACCATACAATGTCTGACCCAGTGCCTGCGGTCATACCAGTTGACTCGGAGCCCACTGTCGTGCCTGGTGACTCGGTGCCCGCCGCTCCGCCTGGGGGCCCGAGACCTGTTGCTCCGCTTGGGGGTCCAGCGCCCCCCGCCGCTCCGCCTGGGGATCCGGCGCCCGCCGCCCCGCCTGGGGGCCTGAGACCTGTCGCTCCGCCTGAGGGTCCGAGACCTGTCGCTCCTCCTGGGGGTCCGGCGCCCGCCGCTCCGCCTGAGGGCCCGAGACCTGTCGCTCCGCCTGGGGGTCCGGCGCCCGCCGCTCCGCCTGAGGGCCCGAGACCTGTCGCTCCGCCTGGGGGTCCGGCGCGCCCGCCGCTCCGCCTGAGGGCCCGAGACCTGTCGCTCCGCCTGGGGGTCCGGCGCCCGCCGCTCCGCCTGGGGGCAAGATGCCTGTCGCCCCCGCCTGGGGGCACGATGCCTGTCGCTCCGCCTGGGGGTCCGGCGCCCGCCGCTCCGCCTGGGGGCAAGATGCCTGTCGCCCCGCCTGGGGACACGATGCCTGTCGCCCCGCCTGGGGGCACGATGCCTGTCGCCCCGCCTGGGGCACGATGCCTGTCGCCCCGCCTGGGGGCACGATGCCTGTCGCCCCCGCCTGGGGGCACGATGCCTGTCGCTCCGCCCGGGGGCCCGGTGCCTGCTGCTCCGCCCGGGGGCCCGGTGCCTGCTGCTCCCGCCCGGGGGCCCGGTGCCTGCTGCTCCGCCCGGGGGCCCGGTGCCTGCTGCCCCGCCCGGGGGCCCGGTGCCTGCTGCCCCCCGCCCGGGGGCCCGGTGCCTGCTGCCCCGCCCGGGGGCCCGGTGCCTGCTGCTCCGCCCGGTGGCCCGCTGCCTGCTGCTTCGCCTGGTAATCCGATGTGCCTCTGCCCGGAGTCCTGCCCGATGTGCCTCTGCCCGGAGTCCTGCCCGATGTGCCTCTGCCCGATGTGCCTCTGCCCGATGTGCCTCTGCCCGATGTGCCTCTGCCCGGAGTGCCTCTGCCCGGAGTGCCTCTGCCCGGAGTCCAGCCCGTGTGCCGCTGCCCGGAGTCCTGCCCGGTGTGCCAGTCTTTGCTATCCCGCCAGTTGCCAGACCCGGGCGGTGGAACATTTTTGCCCAGCTAGGACTGTTTGGAGCGTCCTGAGGCCGCTCCTTGAGGGGGGGGTACTGTTAGGAATGGACTGGCCAGCAATGGTGGGGACTCACCTGCCTTTTGATCTGCAGTACCAGGGCTGGCCAGCGGGTGCTCCCAGCAATCAGAGACTCAACCTTTCAGCCAGCTAACACCTGGAACTGATGATACTGGGGTATTTAAGGGATGGCCAGACTTGCAGACTCTGCCTTGGTGTTGTGTTTGTCCTGGGCCCTGTATCTGTCCTGCATCCTGTTTCTGTTCCTTGCTGACTTCTCCTGCTCTGATCCTGGCTTGTGACCCTGACCATTCCTCTGTCTGACCCTCTGTACTACGCTGCTTGCTACCTGTTCTGATCCCTGGCTTGTGACCCGGACCATCCCTCTGTCTGACCCTCTGTACTATGCTGCTTGCTACCTGCTGAACCTGGCCTGTGACCCCGACCATTCTCCGCTTGCTCCCCCCGTACCTACCTGCCCAATTGATATTGACCCCGGCCTGCCTGACGACGCTTGCTTGTATGTACTGTTATCTGTGGGTGGTTGGTTTGGTTTGTTTGCACTGTATTATGTTTAGTATTGCCCTGCGTTTATGTTTGTATGGTTAGTGTTAATAAATTATATTGTTTATCACATTTCTGAAGTCTGCGTTTCCCTGCATCAGTCACACATCTCTGGTCATACCTGGGAGCCCTGACAGTGCCTCTTTGGTTCTGGAGAGGGATTATGGGAAATACCACTCACCTGACCCTTTCCAGAATTGCAAACAGAGTGCAGCAGTTAAGGCGATCTCTGCTCTGAGGGATAGTACGGGGTCCCTGGCGAAATCCAGGGCAGGGATCCTGGAGGTCTCCAGGTCCTTTTATGCGGACTTACTGGGTGAGAAGCACCTTGACCAGACGAGGATGTTGAGCTTTTTGGAATCCACGCCTGGTCTGGACAGTGATGTCCCTCTGGCGATTTTGACTGGGAGATTACTGCGGAAGAGGTGTCCAGAGCGATTGATAGTCTGGCCATTAAAAAGACTCCTGGGCCAGACAGTCTGACAGCCGCATTCTTTAAGGCTTTTAAGTCCTGCATGGAACCTCATCTCGCGGAAGTGTTTTAACAGCTGTCTGGATGAGGGATCTCTCCCTCCTTCCATGAGACAGTCTGCAGTTATCCTCCTGTCAAAGGGTAAGGATCCTTCGGCTATTGAGAACTGGCGCCCCATCAGCCTCCTCAATGTCGATAGAAAGGTTCTGGCGAAGATCTTGTTCTAGCGCTTGTCGTCAGTGGCAGACAGTTTGCTTTCTCGTCAGCAGCATTGCTCAATTCAGGGCAGGAGTACCTTTACAGCGGTGTTAGCTGTTCGGGAGGCTTTGGAACGGCGTAAGGCTGAAGGATGGGGAAAGTACTTGCTGGCGGTGGATCAGGCAAAGGCCTTTGATCGGGTTAATCATGAGTACATCTGGCATCTCCTGGACCGGTATGGTTTGGAGGGGAGGGTTCATCGGCTGGCTGAAGACATTATATCAAGGGGCTGAGAGCTTCATGTTGGTGAATGGCTGGGTAGGGCAGCCCTTTGAGGTTGGTTCTGGGGAGCCCAGGGGTGCCCGCTGAGTCCCTTGTTCTATGCCTTTGCCATCGACCCCGTCGTCAGGAGGCTAGACGGTGGGGCAGTGAGCGGGGTGCTGGTGGGTGCCACTGTAGATCCGCGTTTGAGAGCTGTGGTTTATACTGATGACGTTTCTGTTTTCATTTCTGGACCAGAGGAGGCGCAGGAGGTGGTTTCAGTAATGGATCAGTATGCCGAAGCATCAGGTTCCAAGGTCAATCAGGACAAATGTGAAGTTCTCTGGATGGGTAGGGAGGGTGAGAGCTTCTCGCTCCCGGACACCTTCCCGGTGCCTCAGCCAAACATCAAAGTGTTGGGCCTAAATTTTGGCCTTGCCGATTACAGCAAGCAAAATTGGGAGACCAAACTGTCAGATGCCGAGGTCAAGGTGAGATGCTGGAAGGGGGTGGCGGCTCTCCTTGAGGGAAAGGGTTGACTTGATCAAGACTTTCTTGCTCCCTGTCTTTTTGTATGTCAGCTTTGTTTGCCTCTTGCCAGAATCGCTCTATACAAGGATCTACATCTGTTTCTTCCAGTTGTTATGGGGGGAACAGGCTGAACCTCGTCAAGAGGGATGTGACTTACTCATCCAGGCGGGAAGGTGGCCTAGTATGGTCAAAACCCGGTGGTCTTTTTCTCTCTGATGTTCTTGAAACATAACTTTGGTAGTATGCTGGCAGAGAGACCGCCTGCATTGGGGTAGGGCTGTTCCGATCTGGTTTGGACCCTTTCTGCACATCTGGGAGAGTGGTGGGCCAGTGAGAAGCCTGCGGGTCAAGCATGGTGAGCTCCCGGCTGAAGTGGCCCCGTGCCTGAAGTCACTCCGACGGTGGCATGTGACTGCAGAGAAGGCTCCTTGGTGAGAGGATTGTAGCGTCTGCTTTCCATGCACCGCTGGCCTTGAGAGATTGCCCAGGCCATGTTTTGAGAGAGGGTTTGCGCTTGATAAATCTGGAGCGGATCCCCCTGAAGTTGCGGGGCCAGGCCTGGCTCGCCTTCCACGGCAGGTTCTACGTGAGGGGTAACCTGAAGTACCGTCCTCCGGATGACCGTGGTTGTCCGAGGTCGGAGTGTGGGGGTGAAGTGGAGACTATGGACCACTTTATGCGTCAGTGCCCCTTTAACGTAGAGGTGTATAAACAGGTGGGAGGGGCTCTGGGTGTTCCTTTCCTCTATCGCATGTCATATGCAGAGTTTGTGTACAGAGCATTCGAGCGTCGCATGGGTTTTGATTTGGACACCTTGTTTTTAGTCAGCTTAGTTGTCCGTTACTACACTTGGATGGCACGGTGTCAGGTCTCCATTCGGCAGAAGGTCCTCCCTGTTCAGGTGGTGGTGAGTGACATCCTTGGTGAGGTTGGGAAAATTCCGGGTCTTGAGAAAGACAGGTTGCAGCGTAGGGCTTGGATGGAGGCGTGGAGGAACATCAAGCCTGTTGCTGTGGTCTGTTGATCTCGGGTGATGGGAACTGTCCCTGTTTTCTGCCTCTTGCACGCCCTAGCTTTTGCGTTTCAGTCTTTTTGGTAGCCTTTTGCATGGTAGGTTGTAGGGGTCAGACGTGGAAGATCTGCAGATGGTTCTGTTTCATGTTTTGAGCCATAAAGGCTTTTCTATAATTTTTTTTGGTCTCGGCCATAGAGGACTTGTATATATTGTATATAGTTTGGGTTTTTTTTTTTTTTTCCCCCCAGGTTATGGACTTTTATGTTGGGCCATAGAGGCCATTATTTAAGGTTCCTTTTCAGGACTTGGACTCTAGCCATATAGGCCGAGGTACATATATGTATATATTTATACGTGTTTGGTTTCTCTTCCAGGAGCTGGACTTTGAGTTTATGGCCATCAGGCTGAGTTTATTTTCTTTGTTTATTATTTCTCCCACAGGGGTTGTTGGGACTTTTTCAGTTTCTTTGTTTAGTTTTGTATTTATTATATTTTTGTACTTTTATATATAAGTTAAGGATGGATATGTATGCTCATAATACGTTTAAATAAAAATCTCCATCCTTCCTTG